TAGGCTGGTAAGAAGACTGGAAAAGGAATATTTAAATGGATTGATTCTTCATATTATGATGGAGAATTTTTAAATGAAAATTTTCATGGTTACGGAGAATACTAATGGTACGGAGGAAGACTTTACAAAGGATAATGGGTTGAAGGAAAAATGGAAGGGTAGGGAATGTTAATTGATGATGGCAAATAATATCAAGGTATTAGGCTGAATATATTTATAAGGCTAATTCAAAAATGACAAAAAGGAAGGACAAGGTGAAATGACATGGTCGAATGGGTAAAAATACATTGGCGAATGGAAGAATGGAAAACAACATGGTAAAGGAAAATTAATTGATACAAATGGCCACGTCACAGAAGGTTAATGGGTTAAAGGCAAAAAATAATGAATTATATATATTTAGCTATTTTCAAATGTTTCTGTTTAAATTCTTTTAATAGAACCAAATTTTATTATGTATTGTGATTTATTGCCCAATATCCAAATATTTAATATCTCATTATCAAACAAGTTTCTAAAAGTCTAATAATAAAATATGAATGAAGTAGAAAATAATGATTATTCAAATTTTAATTAATTATACTTTCAAATTTATTTTAAGCAATCTTCTTTTAGTACTTAAAATAAGTATTTGAAGAAGTGTTTTATAATTTAATAGATCTTAATAATGAAATATTTTGAAAATCGTATAGTTACCTCTCTGTATTCACTCTTTAATAGATGCGATTATTTCAGAATTAATAGTATTGAAAATATTACACAAATCCTAATGTTTTTTAACTATTTTGACTCTTTGATAATTGTAGTATATTAGTTCTTGGAATTTTATAAATAATATTAAATTAAAAACACTTAGCACAATATGTAACAATTTTTAATAATATTCTGCGAATTTCTAGGTAGGGATGCTAAAATAAGAAGTCTATGAATATCATAGAATATTTATATCCTATATTTATTAAGAAATCTCTCAATATTAATTAGTCAGCACCAAATGTTCTTTTACAAATTTTCTTATTCTTAAACTTAGTTTATATTATTTGTAAATATTTAGATCTTAAGTTGAATTTCATTTATACTAAATTTAATACTATTAAAATGAATTTATTCACCAAATTCATTTAAATGAAATTATGCTATTGAAACGAACTTAAAGAAAAAGGACCGAGTAGGATTTAGACTACATTTTTTCAGAACCTCACTTCTGCTATTTTTCATCTATAGTTAGTGTATGATGAATATATTAAAAATTATAATCATTCACATTCGCTCCAGTTCTATTAAGTATATCGCTCGTTAAAAGCTAGGGCTTTTCGGTTATCACTTGATCTAGCAGTGCTTAAGAGAAACCCTTTAGAGCAGGTAGTTACATCTGTATCTCTTTGTTATAATTTTTTGACATCTTACTTTCTTAAATTGATCATGAATGTCTTTTTTGGTAATTACATTTTAGCAGGCCTTTTTCCCTTAAATTTACTGTGGCTTCCATTTGATTTATCATCTGAAAAATTGTTATAACTCTTGGGAGAATATTCTTCGCCAGAGTAATTGTGAAAATTTTCTAAAAGTCGGAACTCATCTCTGTCTTCAAGATATTAATTCATAGCGATCTCAATTCTTTCATCTCTTAAAATCACAAGGTCTATTGTTAAGTTCAGTATTAACAAATACCTTTTAATTTTCCTTTCTATTCTTCGTTTATCTGATTTTTCTGACAAAGCATATAGATTTTGTAAAATAGCTTTCCTTCAAAGCTGTCAATCCTTTCCATTTAATTATATTATTATTATTAAAAATATACAATTTATTCACAAATATTCCTAGAATGTAACATATTACAAGAATCTTAATTGGAAATGACTACAAAGAATAAATTTTATTAAGAAAAAAACAAATAATATAATATGTAATAAATTTTGACATGATAGTTTATCGTCATTTAGAATTTAAAATGTCTAAATTAAAGGCAATTTTACTATTGCACTATATTAGACTCGATATTCTGACATAGGCAATTGTTTATTGTGTTTGATTCTAATTTAAGGCATTTATATTCAAATAGGATATGATTCTAAAGTTATTATGAACCATTAAAGATTCTATATAGGGAGATAGACTGCCCGAAATTAATAATTTGCAGAAATTTTTCAAAAAATCAATAAAAACAAATATGTCGCTTTAAAAAATATGAAAAATCTAGAATGCACCAAATAAATTAATTGAATATTTCTTATTAAAATCGATTTTGGATATTTAAAAGCTAACAAAATAAATATTGGTACTTAATAAAGAGTATCTATGATTACTTTTTAGGTATAAAATAACATTATTCTGTATAACTAATATCTTTATATAAAATGTATTATAATTGTTGTAATGATATTCTAGGAGTCTCAAATTAAGTTATATTGTTCGTTTCTAACATAAAATTAATTTTTATAGATCATATATATTTATATAAGTAAATATCGATGTTATAATAGTTCTATACAACCAAAATAGTTTAACAAAATAAAATTCTTTATTAAATTAAATCTAAGAGAATAGATCTTATTTAATTTAAAAAGGGATTGAAATAATATAAAGGATTTTTTATTAATAATTGTATTCTAATGCTGTGTCTATATGAATATATAATTAGCCTATACAATTTATCATTTTCTATAAAACGGAGTTGAAAGCTTTCTTATTCTTTTATATGGATCTTCAGATTTCTTGGGAATATTTAATCTTCTAATCAAATCGGTTTACTGAGTAGCTATTTATTGGGTTTTTAAGTATTATTTAAAAGACTGTGCGCTTGGAGTTTAAGCCAATCTAAAGCAATCCTATTAAGGTATTGGAGGACAAGGTTCATAATCTCTTAGAGATGTGAAGAAGTTAGTTCTTCTTTGGAATTTTTTGGATGATGGAGCTAATCCTCCTTCATCAGCACTAGAATATCAGAAATGAGGATTACATTACATAATTGTCTCTTCCTGATCCATCACTTTAATAATGTCTAAATTTGGGGATCATGGTTGGAGCAGGAGGTTTCCATTATTTTTGTTTGCTAAAAGTTCCCAATTCAGGATGTACACACTGGATTTAAATTTCTTTCCAAACTCCTCCATTTTATAATGTCACATAGGAATCCCTGCCTAATAGGTGGTATCAATAGGATTTACCAGTTCCATCAGGGGCATAGTGTGTCATTTTGGCTTCAAGGGCTCCTGCAGTTGCACATCTTTGTAATTTTGACATTGTAGTATATTAATATTAATAATGTGTATTATATTAAGTTATTGTCATAATACGATAAAACTAATCCGATTCCACGAGATTATTATTAAAATAAAAATAATATTATTAATGAGATATGCAGATAATGGTTAAAGTGAATTCGTTTTAGGCATAGCCTTTTTGGTTTTAGGAATGATTTACACAACAATCTTTTTTTTCGGAGTGATCAGATATTGCAAGATGGGGAAGAAAACAAAATACTTGGGAAAAATATTTTATCTCTCAATCGTACTTTCTTGTTTAGCCTATATGTTGAATATGGCTTTATACTTATATGACGTACAATTACAAATGTAAAATAGATTTTCGAATAAAAGGCTGATAATTATATTTTGAGCATTGAAAAATAGCTGTTAAACACAATATACGTTCCTGATGGATTATTTTGGATCGTCTATTAATCCTTATTTTGGACAGTCGTTTGTTTGCATTACGATTCACATTTGCATATTGGATAATTGGATGAACTTCCATACAATCCCAATATGTTGATTCATTTGATGAAAGACATCTTTATAATATATGGAATAGCATAATTAATTGTGGTGTTGCTCTATAACTTCGATTACGCAAAGGCAGAGATGTTGTTTTATATAAATATAGTCATTAATCTATCCATACCAGTCTAATTTATCATAACATCCCTATATTTGCAATATAAGTATTCAGGCTCCCCATTTAAGTCATCAAAATAGGAAAATATTTCAAATAGACTCTAAAAATTAATATTTTATTGGACAATTCTTAGAGTCATCCAAATAATAAGCAATTTTTTGTTAATGGAAAACTTGGAAATGATAAGGAAGTTCTTTTCATCTGAATTGAGTTAAAACTAATTGTTACTCTACATATCATTATTGATAATAGATTTATTGTTGGCAAACATTTTCCCATTTATCTTGGCTTTGAGACAGTAAACATTTTCAATATTTTTGGGCAAGAAGAATGCTACTTTGAGTACTATTTCAGAACATCCTATGCGCTAAGAATTTTTAAATAATGACAGCTCAGTTATGGAAAGGAAATAAATTCAATTTGATTACAATGAGGTACTGAAATCGATTGCTAGTCCATAAACAAAAAAGTCTAAGCCTAATGGATTTGGGTATATTCTTGTTTGTCAAATCTAATAAAAAAGTTTTGGGATGAGAATAGTTGAATTCAAACAGTTATAGCCTTACTTGGTTGAATAAGTAAAGTAAGAAATAGAGCAAGTGAATTCATTAAATCATTAATATCTTTATCATATTCATGGGGTTAACATAGTCGATAACAAGGTGGTGTATCTAACCAAATTTTATTAATATTCATTACACAATTATTTAGTTTAAAATTAGATTTCAGTAGAAGAAAAGATTGAGATCTTAATTTAATTGTTACGTGGCATTAGTTACCTTCATAAATAACGATTTTGCCATGGAAGTTTAACTACAGAAAACGTTATGATCAAATCAAATAAAAGAGTGAAAATAAGTAAATATCAGATATCTATTTTCTAGTTGATTTCGGCCTGTTTGGAATAAAAAAATATTAGTCACTATTACAGAGCTATACCAATAAAAATGGATTCACTGCTCCAGAATTGATAATGCAAAGAGGTCAGATTGTAAGTGGATCTTAAGAAGGAGACATATACAGTGTTGGTATGATAATGTATGAGATGTTTGAAAAGAAAGTGCCATTCGAAGGATTACAACTATAAAACATATAGGATTGTCTGAATAAAGCTGTAAGACCCAAGATTGAATCTAAATCCTTGATGGATGATATAATCAGGTGGTGTTGGCAATAAGATTTTGAGAAGAGACCAAAAGTTGATTAGTTATTAAATGTAATTGAAAATATATAAATAAAATGAGTGGTACAATAGTTGTGGGGTCAAATATTTATGAGACTGAATTTTTGGATGAAATCTTCATCCATTATGGCAATAAAACTGCCGACACTATCAGCTTTAAAGATGGACTGATTATTAGTCCTAAGAAATTGGAGTTGCCTGAATATAAAATTAATAGATCTGAGTAAGGAGAAGTCATCATGGCCATTCTTAAGGAAGCCATGAATCTGTTAGAATATTCAAAGCTATCAGATTTGGGAATAATCAATATGTTTGAATTACAATATGTAAATCAATTGAAATCATATCCATCTCTAAGATTTCAATTTATGGATAAAGAATAACCATCAATATTAATGGATGTTCGTAAATCCTATTTTACAGTGCATAATTGTTATCAAATAATTAAAACTTTAAATACAGAGCCATCTGCATATTTTAAGAATAAATTTGTTTTATTGAGGTACCCAGAAAAAAAAATGATTGTTCAAATAAAATCTGTAGTGGTTGATTAAGAGTTCACATATAAAGGTGTATCTTTAGAAGACTACTTTAAATAAAAATATTAATTAAAGAGCAAATCAAGTGTCTATTTAGAAACTTACAATACTCAGAATATTAAGAAATAATTCTTAATTGCAGAGTTTTGTGATTTGAAAATAGATTACATTGAATAAGATGCTACTGTTTATTGTCAACAATTAGAATATTGGAATAAAATTATTAACAATAGTTCATCATTTATTAAATTCTTAAACTAGTATAAATTAATAATCAGAAATGAATAAGTTGAATTCAAATAATAATACTTAGAACCTGGAAATTTGGTATTAAATAATCAAACTAAATCAATATTTTAAATAGTGGCATCCAGAACATCAAGTGAATTTGAATACTATTATACAGACTTTTTCCTTAAGAATGCATCTACATTCACAACATCCTTAACCATCAATAAATTAATTATATTAGTAACTAGAGAAATCACTGAACTGAAAGACAATTTTAATATTTTTTTAGAGAAATTTGATTTATTTATCAAATCTAGATAATACAAAATATCATAACCAGAGATTTATGATATAAATAATAATTTGAATGAAATTTTAGAAAAATATGTCACAGAAGACTCTTATGTACTTTTTGTTGGAGATCAAAAGACAGATTTTACATCAGCAAGAAATACTTTGTTATCCAAGGCCATTCCTAATTAATTAATAAACCTCCCCATCCAAGACCAAGAGATCAATAGATTATTAGCTATAATGACTGCTAATCTTGGTAGTGTCCCTTGGTCTATTAAAGAAATTAATGGATAGATCAATAATAAAAAGAGTGCTGTCCTAGGTATTTGGAAAAGTGACAATTCCTTTTCTGCATGTCTCAGCATTAATAAATACCTCAACAAATATATATCCTCATTCGGAGATTTAGATTAAATTCTGACACTTCTTTTGTCTACTTATTATGGCACACACAAAACTTTAGCAAATTAAATCATCATATTTGCTGAGGAAGATTACACAGATATTATGGAACAAAGAATTCAAGGACTCATTTAATTAATACAAGACCAAGGATTAGCAGAATCTACCTAAAAACCTGAAATTGTTATGGTTTAAGTAAAGGATGCCAGCGAAGAAAGATACTTCACTTATTTCGAGAGGAATTTGTAAAATTATATTATACCTATCTTATTTTAGTGAATCTTACTATTGCAAAAACCCTTAAGTAGGTTGTATAGTTCCTATCAATGAAAAATAGGGTAGATTTTCATTCCATTCTTAGAGAGGAGAGTAAGGATGTTTACAAGCTCAATAATTATAAATTAGTTCATCCAACAGAAGAGAAATAGCCTAATTATACTATCATTTGATTTTCTTAAATTTCGATTTGAGTTCTATCACTTATTTACCAGCGCCACTTCATTATGCAAAAAAATTGTCTAAACATCAACTTTAGAGTGAACAGTACAAAAAAGCAATAGAAAAAGGACATATGTTATTTGTTTGAGTATGATTATACCATAATCTTTTAAATAAAATTATTTCCATTATGAATCAGAAAATTGAATACTAGGTATCACTAATATTTTATTATTGTTCATTATTATAAACTCACAATTGACTCACAGCATTTGGAACTGTTCTTTAATAAAGCAAGACTTATTTTGAATAGAAATCTGGTACTGCTTGATATTCAACTTTTTGCTATTAAATATTTTAATCTACATTTTACTCTCTTATATAAATATGGGAATGTAATTCCATTGAATGTGTTTAAGTAGATTACCAAAGTTCCACCGACCAACAATCCCAAGTATGCTTGAATTCCTACTCTGGCTCCATAATAAACTGGATTTAATGAAAACTTTAATGACTTTGGAAAATGTTTGCTCAATTGCTCAAACTTACTGTTGTCCATGGCCATTTTTATTTATTTTAAAATTATATATATAATTTCTAAATTTATATTTATTTATAATTCTTTATTCAATAATATAATAGATGTATACTTTTCTAAAAATTTATTATTTCAAATGATCTATCAAGTGATTTATCCATCTAAATTAAATTTCAATGAAAATTTGTAAATAGAGTAGAATCTATACATACGAGAATGAAATCTAAAGTTGTGATAATACAGACTAAAGTATTGTTGATAATTGGTTTAAGAAACATTATAGAGTTAATATATAAAATGTGAGGTTTATTACTGTTAGAATACTGTAAGCTGATTAAATAATATATATATCAATATAAAATTATTTAGGTATATTTATAAAAATTAATATTAAATTTCAATTAGAATATGATTATATCCATCAAGCATGTTTGTAACTAATGAATTTATTTTATAATTTTTATCCTATATTAATCATAAATAAAAATTAAAAGATCATTTTTCATATTTTCTTCGAAAACTTTCTAAATGTTTTGGAATATTTCTTGAAAATAAGATAGGGAGTGGTATAGATTTAATAATTGCCTTGGAAAGTATATATCGTTTAAATTAGTAATATCCAAAAACTATTTGAAACACCAAAATAATGATAAAAATTAAGATTCCAATAAAGATAATTAAGGTTTAATTGTCTTTTGTTAAAGTATCTATAGTTTAAGAAGAGATATCTAAAAAGTGTTGACTAAATTAGCTGATTTAAAATTAGATAACATCGATTCCCCACAGCATATAAATGAGATATTCGCTATCATCAAGTATTTTCTCCAAAGTTTGAGCTTTTTCTAGAGGAGATTGATTTTTAAAAATTAATTAAGAGGCTCCCTCTACAAAGGATAATACTTTTTATTGTAGATTCAGCACACCTGTTTAAAACAGTGGTACTAATTCTTTTAGATAAAGCCTATCATACAACAATAGGGATAGCATATCACAACCAGTTAAAATACAAACATCTTATCCTAAAAGTTGATTTTATTGTTCATCACTAAGTCCTGAATTCGAATCTCCATAATTGAGAATCAAATTAGCAAAATCTATTTATTTTAATCTTGAGATATCTTTATAAATTAACGCTTCATCCATAGACAAGAGATTTAAGATTAAAGTGTCAGTTTAGATGTTTCTACTCATAAATTTATGGCCTGCATCAGTCCTGTTAATAATTGCATAAGTTTCAAAGTATTACTTTATTAAGAATAAATCAAATCTATTTAATGCGACAATGAAATTCAACCTATTTTCTTAAGCTAAAATTGCCCTATTACTTATAGGCCCTATAGAATTCTTAATATGAAGAAAATACAAATGAAAAGCAAATGTATACGCAAGTATTATTATTGAGACTAATACAATAATCAAGATTGAACAATGGCTTTAATAGTTAGAATTTTCTTAGACATTTTTCTTAATCATTCTTTTTTTTTTAACAAAGACTACTGTTGCTCTATTTGAACATTTCCTCACATCATCTAAAATGAATTAAGGTAGTGTTATGATCATTTTAAAATCTTTTTGTTTTAAGAATATTCTATTATATGATACCATACTAATCAATTAATCAAATTAGTGTATGATTTAGATGCAGTCTTCCTTATCGCACATCTTAAATAATTTCAAATATTGTTTGATTGTGTGAACAACTTTAAGGTAATTGATAATCAAGGCTGTCAATTACAGTAGGATTGTTAAATACAACCCAATAAAATAGTAAGTGACTATCTAATCAAAATAATCATTCATTTCAGAGTGATATGTATGGCAATCCCAAAGAGTAGTATTAGCACTCTCACTTACATCAAAAAAGTTATAATAAACTTATGACCTTGCTATTTAGGTCATATATGTATCATTTCTACCGGATAGATATGTTTGTGGCGTTGATGCAAATGATTTGTATGACATAAAAAACGTTTAATGCATAATTTGATAATAAGTTGAATAGTCCTAAACGTTTTAAGCTATCATACTCTTCAAATCAAAGTTGATAAAGTAAAGAGTAATATTCTTGATATCGCTTTTCATAGCTAGTTTTGAATAATTCTAATACATGTTATTAAGTCTAACACTTCCCTTTGCTATATGTTGCCAAGCCATATATATTTTATCATATCTACTAATATTTATGGATTCATTATTAAATGGAATTATCGTATCATTTTATATAGAATAAAAGTCTCTATAATAAATTACATGTCTGGATCCAGACATAGTTTAACTATAGGCATCTAAAAAGTTTAGATCATCTGTAATTTATTGGATGCAATCTGTTTAAAGATCCTTCTTGTGTTTAAAAAGACAAGATATCAAAATGACAATAAATGTTATTACAATGATTTAAATGACAAAATGAGCAATTAAATCTTTAATGGTTTTGGGTATGACAGTGTCATTTATATAAACAGTAATCTTCTCCAATTGTTCTTCGATTTCATTTGAACTATGTTTAGTAGCTGTATTTGTCAATTCAGCTACTAGTTCTACTTATTCATTAGCTTCCTCTCCATCACATGAGAGAATAATATTAGTTTAATTAGGTCTAACCTATTCTAAAACTGCTTATTATCTTCTTAAAATATCTGAGAGAGCAGGAGATTTGGCAATCTATTAAGAAGGAGATTAATTTATTTTTGGATCATCAAGAAAGTCAATTTCGATTACAAAATATAGAAATTCACAGTTTGAGTCTTTTTCTACATACGTCAATAATTTTTACACTACACTGAATTCAATTGGATATAATTTGGAATATTGAGGTTTCAAACTTGATAAACTAGTACTAATATCTTTCAAAGTACTTATCATTTATTTGTTTGTAAATTTCTTGGTTGATATTGATTAAGAAGTTTTAAATTGAGTTCTGCTTTTATTTTGAACCTATAACACTCCGATTTCTCGTTAACAAATAATATCCTATTTTAAAATCCTTTTTTTGTCTTTAATAGTTAACATTCTATAATACTCTTCTAAGATTTAAGATAAAGATGGAATTATTTCTTAGATGGCCACTTATTCATATATTTCACAAGGTAAGGTTAAATCTTCATTTTTATTATTTTTATAATAATATTTGTAATTGATTCTCTCGTAGATATTTCTGGTTATTCCAAAAATTAGAAAATTAGAATCAACCAAAATATACCCTCTCTTATTCTAATCTACTTCTCTTTTCTCGTACTTCACCATTTTCAATAAATGTCCTATAATCCAAAATTGATATTGATCGTTTGAACAAGGGAATAAGGCAGTCAAACATATATTAACTTTTTCAATCAAATTTTCTGAGTTCAAAATAAATTATTCTGAATTTGCATACAATCGATTTGTCTTACCTTATGCTAAATAGGATTCAATCAAACCATTGTGTATTTAACCAAGTTTAATAGGCAACAATTACTCTATTTTAGTTAATGGTATAGTTAAATTTTAATATCCAAAAAACTCACAAAATTGATCATTTATATTTTACGTTATATATCCAAGGGTTTAGGATTGCACAGTGGATATTACTGATAAAGCTTACCCATTTAAGAATTGTAAATTATTGAATTATTAACTTTTAGAGTTGGTTTGTTCCTTCACCTGACACTCTATTTATTAAGCTATCCTCAAACAACTATTGATATCTTCCATACAAACCAATGAAATTACTAGTTTTATTCTTAGGATTAAAATAGAGTCTAAGGCAGGAATTTCTCTCTAACTTTGAAATTTCATAAACTCGTTTTTCAACATATCAGTTTTTCCTTTTATTTCTGTAGAAAATTGAATCATTCTCTCGTAGGATATTAATTGATTCATTTTTTACTGCCACATCGATTTCATATAAATGAGCAAATCCACTATGAGTTTGACAATTTACTCCTCAAAATTATAAAATAAATTGAAGTCTTATAAAGTGCGAAACTCCAAGGATCCTATTTTGATGCCTACCCTATTAGTATTTTCAATTTCAAGTTTATTTAAATGTTATATTTAATTGATTAAATTAATAAAGAATGTAGGCATGTTGCCTGGTTTTACTTTTTAGAATGCAAAGACTACATCTTAGATAGTCTTATATGATAACACAGAATTTTCTCTGTATCTTTAGAGGAAGGTTACAAATTTAATAGTAAGTTGTTCAAAGTATTGAAATTAATTTTAATTTTGTATAATTGACTTTATCATTTTTTAAAATTAATATTGTACCCAAATATAAATGTGTTGTGTATTAAGTTGGTTTTAGCCAGAAATAAATTTACTTATCTTTTACTTGCAAGGACAGCATACATCATTGCAATGCTAACAATGAATTCCCAAGTATTTTAACAGTTCGAAGTAATCTCTTTGATTTATACTCTCCAAATGGCACAATTGGCAAATATATTCTAATGGATGCTCGCTTTTTTTCTTCGATTTGGATTTTAGAAATGATTAGCATTCCTTGTCTATGTAAATGTCATAAAGGGCTTAATTTATTCCAAATATCAACTAAAATAGAAATAAAATTTACAGGGACACAGATGCAGAAGGTTAAGAAGATGTGAGCATCACTCAAATCCGATAGTATCCACACTGCAACCAAAATTTCGAAAAACCATGAGCACCACAAACATTTGCTGAGGAACACTGTTTCGTGTGAAAAACCAAAAGGAATGTTCAAATAAGTATCTAGGGCTATCACGATTATGATGAGATTGAAGATTGAATGGATGAGATAATTGTAATTACTGTACATGTCCTTCCAGAAAGATGACATCTATAAGGCCATATGTAATAGGATGGTTAGCAAATTAAAATAGCTAAATTTTCTCATCACGTCTCCTTAGACAAATTCATAATTTCTAAAACAGTATAAGGATAAAAAACCTGAGAGGATTACTAGTACTTAGCCTATAATGCTTATTATTAAAAAGTGAGGTGAGATCAAGGAGAAGCATTGTGGGGGATCTAGATTTCCATGTTGGGCCAAATATGCCAAACGACCACAAGTTAATATTCCAATCATGCATTCATGAAAAGGTGTCAGGAAGTACCATTAAAAGTTCTTAAAATAAAACCGTATAAATCTATTAACAAAACTGTGGGTAGAGAGTGGCTAGAATAAGATGTTCATAGTACTTTGAATGTGATTTAGAAAAGTATTATTGCATAAATGGAACACATAGTCCCAAAAATACAATAATACATAATTTTTGTAAACGGGTCGTAATGAATGACTATCATCATAAAAGGGATTGAGGAATACTATCCGATTTGCGCCAAATAATCATTTTCATAATATACAATGGATTTGCTTTCGAATTAACTAAAAAGGTAACCAAGCAATTAAATAAAATAGAAGACAATCACTCCCAAATTACCATAATCCACTTATGATTTTCTCCTCTCAGTGTTAGACCCTATTGAAATAAAGAAGTAAATAAGCCTAGAAAAATATTTCATTTATCCTAAATTTATTATATTTATTTATATTGATATTCATAATCTTATAGTGATTCAACAATTTAATTATATCCCCAATAAATCATGGATACTGACCAAGATAGAGTAGAAACTTAGTGAACATAATTTCCGAGGTCAAATTTGGTAATATAATTCTGAATAAATAATTGAAAATCGATTAAATTTATCATAAGATCATTTAATTTACAACAATTTAAAATTTATTGGATTAGATTAAAAATAATAATTGAATTGCTATTTTATTCATCTGATCTCACTTTGCCTTTGCCAGAAGTCTTCGATTCTGTGTGACAATTCAATTTAATTAGTTCAGTATATATATAATATATATAATAATAATGTCACTCATCATCGTTAAACTGCATAAGCTCTGAATGCTCAGATTGAGAGTCAATTAATTGGTCAAAATAATGATCATCTTTGCTTTTGACATCATAACTAGCAGCAGTGACTGTGTGGCAATTCTTTTATACGGATCTCACCTATGGAGTGTCTCTATCATTGATGGTCAACTATTGATTTTTCATCTATTTGAGCATTCGTCTGAAATCCTGAATCCTATCATTCATGTCTTTAAAATATCTATCAGCCATGGCTATAAAATCTTCAGTGTCGATGGATCGATAATTTCTATTTTAATTTAATTGCTCATACCTTTTGAGTTGTTATCCCTCTTGTAAATAATTTTAGATTGAACTAATTCTGTTCAAAGTGGCAGGATCATTAACATTAATTTTTAATTTGTACTTTTTCAAATACGAATTTAATTTATAAAAATTTAAGAGAATTCTTTCAGCCACTTATCTAATTTCCGTTTTGATACAAGCCTTATCTAATAGTGTAATTGATCTTAATTCTGAAACAAATGGTTGCAAATCAGCATACAAAATGGCTGTAAAAAGTGATGTCAAGGCAACTCCATAAAATAAGCCTAAGGTCATAGAAAGTCTTCCAAGTTCAGTAGTTGGATATAGATCTCCATAACCCACTGTGAATATTGTGATCATGCAAACCCACAAAGAATTGTTTATGTTATAGTGATCGATTTCTGTTGTTGTTCTTAACAATGCTCTTTCTGAAATTTCTAATTGGTACGAAAACAAGAAAATTCCAATGCAAAAGAGACCGCAAAGCGTTGAATATGGATTCTACCGAATTGCGACTTTGAAAATGAAATGAGGACCGAATTCAACTGAGTATATGCCACTAAATTAAACAATGAATATATACCATAATCTATTTACTCTATTGGAATAAAACGATTAGAACTTAAAGGCTATATTCAAAACCAGCAGTGATCGAAAAAGCATAACAAAGGTGAGTATCTCATTTACGAAGTAGAATCTTGATTAATCAGAATATCGTTGTAGGAATGAAACCTTGTATCCAATCGTATATGGGGTTGGACAAGGAAGCAAAATGACGGTTTCGATTAACACAAGAAAAATGAGATTTGTTTGAAATATATTGGAGGCTTTGGGGACTGTAAGAGATCGTTTCTTGAATTCGAGTTCTGCTAAATATGCCATAAATGTCATGATAACTATATAGGATAAGCTAAATACTGGAAATAATGGTTAGGACTAGAATCAGATATAACAGAGTTTTGATTTCTTCTTCATATGTATCCGTTAACTAATACGCGAATGAAACCTCATACTATATTATTTATATATAATTAACTTCAAGAACCATTAGAACAATACTGGCACAAATTGTCCACATTCTGCCTAATTCTAGCACTCTATATCTTTCAAAATAAAGTCTTGTAACTCTGCTATCTTCAAAAGCATTATTTTTTGAACTTCCAATAATTTTTGACTTTTTTCTCTAACTCATTTTCACTTTTGGAGAAGTTTCAAACAAGCATGATAGTCTTCCATGCTATTGAAATGCATCATCCTCATTGACCCTTGAAGCAGGATTACCTTACAATTCTATTGTTTCATAATTTGATGATTTCATAATATATTATTAACTATCAATTATTTTGATCAATCGTGGAAACTCATCAAACAAGAGTCTCTGTGTGAATCGTCTAAATTATTGAAAAATTCTTCATCTTTGCTAAGTTTCTCCTCTGTGTTTAATTAGTTCCTGAAGATCTTGGGAGAAACAGGCGAAATTTTTATTTATTGTATTTAGGTTTATTCCTTTTCCAAAATCGAGTTTTACTATAGTTTAGATAGATGAGTCTGAATCAAATATTACTATTCATTGAATTTATAGAGTTGTTATCTGATTTCCTTGAATTTACCATTGGCATCTCCAAATTTCCGTTTCACCATTTCTTAGAATTCTTCTCCATCAATATCCCTATGCATTCTAAAGTGTGACATAATAACTCAATACCTCTTCAACATCCCAACATCTTATAGGAATCTTTCCAAATTAAATAGTGTATCATCAAAATTATTATTCACCCCTTCAGTTTTTGAGACTTTTTTTCTTTTCCTCAACTCATTCAAATAAAAAAATATACTCGAACTTGCCTTTTTTATGTTCTTCGTGATGGTAGCCTTATCCAACAGAGCCCAAGACTGATACTCTCCTGAGTTCGGCTATAACATATTATATAATATGGCTGTAAATAAGGAGGTAATTGTGACACCATAAAACAACCCTAAAGTCATGGCTATACGACCTAAATCTGTGTAAGGAAAGAAATCCCCGTATCCTACTGTCGCTATTGTGATCATAGTAACCCACTGACTTTTGGTGAGTCCATAGTTTTCCAAAGAATCAAAAGTTCTGAGGAGTGGCCTTTCCGATATCTCTAACTAATAGGTGTATTGGATGAAGCCAACAATAAAGAGCCAAGTCAAGGTGTAGAAGGGGAATTGGCGTATGCATAATTTCAACATTAAATGAGTTCCAAACCGAGTCTGATACAAACGACTATGCAAATTGATATCAATATTATACCACACTCTCCCAATCCGATTTGAATAATATGTCTAGAATTTAAACCCTATATTCAGGAGCAAATAGAGTCTGAAAAACATGATATATGTTAGAATTTCATTCATCATATAAAATCTAGTTTCTGCTGTTCCTCTCTATTCAAAGTTAACATAATAACCTTAAGTGAAAGGATTTGAGGTTGGAAGGATAATGATAATTTCACATAGCAATCCCCATTTCAAGTCAGTTTATATGAGGGATGCTTTGCTGGAAATAATTTTTGAACACTTTCTATATTCAAGTTCAATTAAGTAAGCTATGATTGTCAGCAAGACAATTATCAATGACATATAGAATATTATATACAAGAGCAAGCGCAATTCAAATTCCATTGTCTTGGTAAGGAATGTTGAATAACTATATTCATACTAATTCAAAACATTAATACTTCTAAGATCGTTAGCACCATACATGCAATGATAAACCAAAATCGAGTTAGTTCAACCATTCTATACTTCTCAAAGATCATTCTTGTTACTCTGCTATCCTCAAATGGTCCTTTATAGGAATCATCATCATCGATGATAGTTGCAGCTCTCTTGTATAGTTTTCTGCTTTTCTATTTCTTTAACAATGGCGCTGCTTTAATTGGAGATTGGCCAGTTAAATTTAGAAAAACCATTTCATTAACCATTGTTATTTTATTGTCTTGGGTCTTTTTTTATTTTTGATTGTCAAATGACATTTTAATTAAACAAGATATTAATCAATAATTACTTATATAATAAACCTTCAATTTTTATTTTCATTAGACTATTCATCCTTATTAATGATTCCACACTCTTTAATTTAGACAATAAATTCATAAGAATTAGAACATTCAAAAATAGTTGCATCTACATGTAATTTGATTATAAATTAGATCTAATTTAATTCTCCTTATTTGTTTGCTTCCATAACTTCATTTGCATATGGAAATTGACAACAATCTTTGAATATAGTATTATCCTCTATTATTTTGATAATTATTAACAATTAATTAAGAATGAAACCGCATAAAAAAAATGTATTAATTCGTTCGAGTGTTCCTTCTCCCTCCAACTTCGATTCGAAACCCTCAACCTAAATTCCTCGATAGCGATCTGTCAATTAATTCGAAGAAGCTGATCCCACCTCAAAAGGTATGTGGAAACTATATATCTGAGATAGAAAAGTCATTAAGATGAGGAATGTTGTAGACTTAGGAGATGCAACCGAGTCTATTCACAAACCGTCCTCTAAACGAATGAGGAGATAGAGTAAGGATGAATAGGATTAACTGCTTGAATAATTAGATCAATGGCATGAATAGATAGTTTCCAAGAAAAAAGCATTTGCATTTGAACAAGTCAAGTAGAATGACAATAAATTAATGGAGAACGAATTCGCTAATGATGGAGGACCTTAAATTAATCAAGCCATTATCAATTCTATTCTCAAACCCCAAGAAAAATAATAATTGAAGAACCTATCATAAGAAGAAGAGTAGAACTCAAATGTTTAAGTGAAATTTTAATTGTTGAGATCAAACAAGGAATCTAATAACCCTGTTATGAAAACTTTAGATTAAGTTAGGATAGAAATGAATAAACATATTTTAAACTCATTGCTATTATAAAAAGTAACTAAGAAGTTGGACGACTTATAAATTAATAGGAAGGCTAAATCTAATTGGAATCATTAACAAATGGATTAAGAAACAGCCTAAGTTGTAAGAGATTAATCACAAGCCATCAAAACCTCAACACTAAATAATTTTAAAGGATTAACTGAATATTTTAGTAATCCTGCTTAATACATCGATTATGATATAGTCTTATCCAAGGCAAAATATTACAGCAATCGACCACCAAGTTAGTTTTAAGAGAATATAGTGATGACAGGATAATAATCATCATCTTCTGCAAAATAACTGATGGAATCATTTTAATAGTTTTAAGTTTAAATCAAGGAAAACAAATAAACCTTATATCAAATGAGATTAGATAATAATCAACTCGTGTAATAGACAGCGAAAAAAGAAGAAGAAATAAGTGAGATTAGGAGGAAATATTATGGAAAAGAAGAAAAAGTGAGATTAGGGTATGTTCCTGATTAAGAAGGCAAAAAGAAGAATATGATGGAAATTATTGAGAAAATTCGATAATAGAGAGACTTAGAAATTAGAAATATACAAAAATTCATATCATAAATCAAAGATGAAATGCATAGAAATACTGATAGACAGGAAGTAATTCAAAAGGACCTAGATGAATTAAGATAAAAAAAGAGAAGATGTAAAATGCTATTAAAGGATATATTCTTAAAACAACTTTAAGAGGCAAATGAATAATTGATGCCTGAAGGATTGGTCCAAATAATTAAATAAATGAAAAAAATCAATGAAAATGCTAAGGTTGAGTAATTTCCAAGATACTTAGATGATTCATCAAGACAGTATCTTCTCAAGGCTGCATAGTTAGAAATAGAAATAGAAGAGGCTAGATCCCAATCTCAAAAGTTCAACCATAATCATACTAGTTTGAGAAGTGCTCAATCTTAATAATGTCTATTTTAAACATAACCTGTAAGTGTGTCTTAATTGAAGAGTCAAGTGAAGACCATGCTTAAAAGAAGCAAGGTTTCTATAAAAAAACCAGTGTTTGTTTAAGGCATAGATCCTCTGAATCCTTAATCCTTCGCTCATGTGATCAAATGGGAGAATCAAGAATTAGAATCTGCTAATTTGTAAGACAAAGAGGAGATTCAAATTAAATTATGCAATATGCCTAGTGAAAATAATCTAATTATTAAAGATTATAATCAAAAATTAGTGTAATATTAGTAATAGCTTGAACAGATCTAGAAGGAAGAGTAGGAAAGAATACTAAAATTATATTAAAATAAGAGACATCTATCAGACGTTCAGGAATTGAAATTAGTATTGTATTCGTTATTTGGATAAGTGATCGGAGATTAAATTTGGTATGAGTTTGTTATTGAATGGACAGAGTAAAAATCTTTAAATCCTCAATAAATTTTAAAAAAAGAAACAGAATCGAAATAAAATGAAAAAGGAATGAGTTAAAAGGTTATAAATGATAAAATAAAATAAAGGATGGCTAACACATATCGTAAATTATAATAAAGTAATGAAGTTGAATATAATTTTAATATGCTAGATTGATTCTTATATTATTTTTCAAATGATTAATAAAAATGGTCTGACTTTTTATAAGGCGACTTTCTCATCAACTAAAACAACCTCTTTGTGTTAGCCATTGTGAGTTATCTCAGCTTTTAATATAAATACAATTGGATACCTCTCAAATCATAGAAATAAAATGGCTCTCCAATTTAATATCTATATTTTCCTGGAACAGGCATTGTCTTAAATTTCAAATTCATAACTGCACCAGTTTCAACATCAGCCATCTTGAAATATCCAGTAGTCATCGAGGTGTCAGTGTTGAAGAATTACCAAAACTTAGGGATTATTTTTAATCCATACCTTATTTTTGAATTCTGGGAATTTTTCAGGACATGGATATCCACGATCATATTCACAATCGTAATCCAAGACATGAATAGTTTCTTCCTTGAAGAGAGCGTTAATTTCGTTATTCTTATAGAGCATATCTCTAAGGTAAGTTTCCTTAAAATCAGGATCACCACATTTATCTCTTGCTCTCACATATAACATGGCTAATGGCAAAACAGTTAAAACCTATTTTTAATTGAAATCCGTTACTTTGAATCCAAAGGCTAAAAGGATAAAATTGATAAAAGAAGAGACTGAATGCAGGCAAGAAGTAAACATTGAATTTATCAAATAATCTATGTCTTCTTTCAATTAAACATGAGAAATTTGGGACCTAAAATTGAGATTGTAAATCTTACATGTCTATGCAATAAATCCTAAATCCATGCCCATCCAAGTGGTACTGATTCCCAGTTGTCTTTTGGTGTTTTAACATATGTATGCTCTTGATTAATGTCTCTTGGGTAAGTATAGTAAGCATTTTTAAATTTGTATTGCCATCTCTTATTGTATGGGTTTGATGATTGCCACACAATCTTGTTGTACTGTGAACGATGCACTAATTACTACACTGTCTTGCTCTTAATAATTTACATTATTAATATCTTTTAATTAGTAATATAAACTTAAAATATAATTATGCATCATATTTTCCTCATATTCAATCCCCAATATTTACTACGCAAAGATCTTTGGTAAATAGATTGTATTTCTAAACAAACTAAGTTTTAAATGAACTATTAATTTATTTAAATTAAAATAGAGAATTGCTTCAAATGGTCTGTATTATAAATAAATGAATTTCAAATGTCTTAATTTGAGAAGATAATCATGATAAATAGTAAAATAAAAAAAGTAATTATTTAGTATATATTATATATAATAATAAAAGTTTTTATTTCAACTGTTTGTTCTATAGTAGATTATTGGTTATGTTTAGATGATTTTAGTAACTTACCTTCCGCTGATTTAACGATTGAAAACATTTAACGGAGAAGCAGATCCCATAACAAGTTTTGTTTATAATTGTTTTTTGGTTTGCAAAGGAGACTAATGAGAACAACAAGTCATTGAATTGTTTGGTTTTAGAATTGACTCTTTATTAGAATCTCTATTGCTTGATATAAATTATTGCAATAATTCGGTGTCATCATTTTATTCTTTATTTTCCTTTTATTTTCCAGGACTAAAGATTGACATGATAAAGGATTCCACTTATCTGTTAATGATGTCAAAATTAATGTTTAGTTTAATCTTTTCAGATATTCCATTAATGATGTTTGTATACTCTTCAATAATTTCATTAGGGATCAATTAATTCATCAATTTGTAGGCTTCAAACTTTGAATTGATATTCTAAACAACTTCGATATCATTGTTTATCATTTTATGAATTTAATCCTTGTTAATTTATAGCAGTTTTTATTGAAGATCATTGATAAGAGCTATAATTTAATTTTTAATTTGGAGGAAGTAATTCTCATAAGGCTTTTAGATTGTTTTGAATAATTCTTAACTTTAATCCATCAAATCCTCAGCTTTTTTAATGTTTTGTTCAATCAAATGTTCGTAATTCTCAATTTCTTTCATCTAGCTAACATGTTTAGTATGCATTTTGATAACGCAATGTGCACATGCTTTTTGTAATTTATATGGACAATCATTGTCTATGCAGATAAATTTATATTAATTATTTTCGTGGCCTGGTAGTTTGCATATATTTGTTTTTTCTATTTACACTTAGAATGATTATTGCTGGCTGGCATATTATTATTATTATTCTTCGTTTTTCAGTCTATTGATGGGAGAAAAAGTTTGGTCATTGGAATTTCTTTTGTTTATAGGTGACAATTGGGATTTTTCATTTATTAATGCCAATTATAACCATTCATCCTTGTCTTAATTCCCTTTTTCAATTTAATCTTCCAAAAAAGTCTTGGTATTAGGTTTCTCTTTATTTTTGAGAAAGGAATTATGTTGCTCTTTTAATTTTTGGTTGATTGTGTATTCTGAAATAGATCTTTGGCTCTGAATATAGTTTAATGAATTACTAGATTTTTCTTATTGGAATCCACGATCTAACCCCAATTAGTATCTCTCTCTTCAAAAGCTTGTTTAATGTGATTACGTAAACCTAATTGATTCCATAGTTCGCGAGAAGTCTTCTTTGGCTTAATCATATTCGTTAAATTAATATAATACTAATTTATACTATTCATCAGGATATTAATTATTTAATAGCATTTATTTTGAGAGAAATCGATTGCCAATACCTTCAGATGATAAGGAATGAGATTTTACAAGAAAGACAAATGGATAGTGGTGATATCATCATTTCTTATAGTAAATATGAAAATAAGGGTCATTGTATATTCATGATGGTCTAATTAAGAAGAATAGATTGATTGAATTAATTTTAGTTTAATTGATAGCTCTATATATATGATTTGTTTGAGTTTGGATAGAAAAGAAAAACCATCAGAATATAAAATAAATTATGATAAAATGGAAATATTAATTTTGGAAATCAACCCTCAAAAATAAGTTTAAAAGAAATGATTCTTATTTTCAATAGCATAAGATGATAGGAAATTATTAACCACATTTATTATTTATGCAAAATTAATTCATAAATGAAGGGTAGGGTATTTAGATAATGATCTAGAGATTGAAATGAATATAATGTAGACATACTTAATGAGAAAAAGAGATGATAACATATGCAGTTGATGTGGAATTATAAATCAATAACTAATTAAAATTGAATTTTAATTTATGGAACCTATTTGGAGTTAAATAAATAGTAAAAGAGAGCATGAAAGTAATTATCATTAATTGAGGAACTAAACCTTATTATTATGTTTATCAAAGTAAAAAATGAATGAAAAATAAACTTTCGAAAAGTCAAATTTATTAAAATTAAGTTAAGGTGCAAAAGGTATTACTTAAAAAGACAATTCAAAAGAGATGGCATGTAGATTCAACAAAAGAAGTTAATTGATATTATTTTGAAATATTATATTTATAGTTTGAATTTATTTCTAGTGATAAATTATGCTCTTAATGACTGCTTGCTCATAAAATCTATACAATAATATAAACTCATTTTTTTGTTGCCTTTTTCTTAGGTATTAGTGACTGATGTTCTCCTTTCTAAATATTCAAATGTAAGTACTCCTCTACGTAATTACTCTTTGATTGAAAATATATATTTTCTCACCTTTGGAGGTATGCCCTTCTCTTTCATTTATATCTACATATAAATAACAAAGTACTCTATCTGCTTCAAATAATTCAGTCAGTTTTTCAAATTTATCTCCATAATCGGAGCAGCCCTTTCCGATTCTTAACATGAATTATTCGACTGGCCAATCTGGTATGGCTAAGTTGTACCCTGGTGGTGGAAATATGGGAGTGATTGTTCTCCTTCTCATAGCAGGCTACTATAACAAAGTTGTTTTGAAGAATCTGCTAACAAAATTTAATTGCTAATTTCTCAATATAGAAATCATAATTAATATATTTTCGATTTTATTTCTAAGAATCTCTTTATCTTGAATTCCTTATGCTCCTCCTCCTTTTATTTGGTATTATGCTCTAATCTCAAAGAATAAGATCTGTTCTTTTGTATAACTTGTTTTTTAGGAATCCGTTAACTCCTCATTCGATATAGATTCTCTATAATATCAGCTGCTTCATTTCCGTAATTCATTTTAATGATTTTCCCAAAAGGAGTTGAGGGTCTACTCTAATAATATTGTGGTTACTTGTTCCTGAGTCCATAAACAAAGGTGTCTTCTGGCAATTTCACAGTTTTTGACTTTTTGTGATGTGAACTGTTCCCATATTACCAATCCGATGTGATTTCCTTCATTCCAATCCCATCTCTATTAATCTTTTTACCGTATGAATAACTGGAATCAGGTAGATCTGACACTGAAGGCTTTGCTCTTCCCACATCTCCTCTTAACAATAAAATGTTATTGGTTTTATTTATCAAATAAGGCAAAATAGTTGACATAAAATAATAAAAAATTTCATTCTTCTGATCATCAAAAAGTATTAAATTTAAATAACTCATTAATATTGGACTTCTACTTTAAAGCATTCTCCTTATGATAACTCTCTAGAACTACATCAATATTGTATTTTGGATAAAAAGTTTTGTATATTTCATATTTGTCAATCTCTATGGGACTCCATTGTAATTCATTGTAAATTGCAGGATGCTTAATTAATATATTATGATATATACATGTTGAGGGAAAGCAACAAAAGGAGACATCTCATAATTTAATTAAGATATTGGGTTTATCAAACTCTTTTTTGAAGGAACTTACAACATATTGTTACCCCCTGGTATTGTTAATGTATTCTATCTTTCATCCTTTTCTCTCAAATGCAATGGACTGATTATCTTCTACGAACCATGATTGGTTCCTCCACTTTATTGAAAATTGTTATTCATATCTGATTTTAATGTAAATGTATTCAAAATTGATAACTAAGAGTGTTTTGGAGTATTATTCATTGAGATACTACTTACACCACTTCTGTATTGAGAATATTTCTCAGATCTATTATTGCTTTATTTCATAGGCCTTAATTTTTAATCCCCTGTCTATCTCGAAGCGCCTGACACCTAATCATCAGAAAATGAGGAACTTTCATTACTCGAATCCTCAATCTGCTACTCATCTATAGTGTTATTCACATTATCCAAGGGGGGACTTTTCTAAGAAGTTTATTCTTTGTAACCAAATCCAGCTGTGGAAGTAGTGGCTTTTGGATTCCCAGCTCTTATAAATATTTGGTCAATCTCTCTAAATTATTGTTCTTTTAATGATTCTTATGCATCTAATCCTTAAACATTTTCAAGTGTAGACGGCCTTTATGATAATTTCTAGCTTATTAATATTTTGGATGGGTAATTAATCGATGATTATGTGATTGTGTAATGAGATTGATTCTATTGATAATTTGTGTGATCTGTCTCTCCCAAAGACGATGCATATCCTTAATCTTCTTAAAACTCTTAACATTTCACTTGAGTGTTCAAAGCATTAAATTTTGTATTTCCACTTTTAGTATCTCTCCTTTAAACTTATTTAATTCACATAAATACATTTATGTCTTTTTTACTCAGCTGGTGCCAATAAATCCAAAATCACTTATTCTTTCTGTACTTCCAAATGTAATTATGGGCAGTTCTATATCAAATGATTTTATGATTAACAATTATAACACTGAATTCCGAGAATTTCAAATTGATTCGAGAAAATAATTTCATTTGTTATAGTGTTAATAAATTCCTACAATAATTTAATGGACATATACTTTATCTTAATTGTTATTATTTATTGTGGCCAAGAAATTCACTCTATTAAGCTTGAAAATACAAGATTCCCCTATACTTCTCACAGTAGCACATCTAGGGAGACCTGTTAAAAATGCAATTTGCCCAAAACATTCACGATCACTCAATATTTTAACACCGACAATGCTATTTTATGAATTCCTAAAATTGATTTCAACTTATCCATTTTTAATGATATATATAGAACAATCATCCAATTAATCTTGATTGATTATTACTTCCTCATTTCGAAAGTACTAAATTTCAATAACATTGGTTAAGTTACTTAAACTCTATCTAGACAATTAATTAAATATGTTGAAGTATTACAAATGCTTTATTTTATCTTAATAAATTAATTGTTGTCTTAAGGATTCTTTAACCCCATAAAAATTTATCAAATAGTTTAGGTTCTTAATCCTGGCTATTGACTTTTATTAAACATGCTGCTATTAAATCTGATTCAACAGTTTTCTCACTTTTGACGTATTGATGTTTAGCGATTTTAAAAAACCCAAAAAGTCAATCATATTCTTTTTATCCTTAAAAGTTGTCTTCTACATTTATGCTAGTAAATAAAGTTGAATTATAAATAGATATTTGATTATCGTAAATATTATCCATGTGTACAAAATAAATAATACTAATTCAATTCGTGATTCATTATTTTAATAAGCAAGATCAATACCCACCAAATAACCAAAGAACCGTAAGTAAGTGGTAATGTATTAGTGGAATTGTTCATCAATGTTGAGGGATGTAAAATCTTCAGTTATTAATATGAGGAAGGCACAACAAAATAGATGACACTATTAGAATGCCAGCAAGACAAGTTTAATGATATTCTCATATTCCCACATATATTGAATTTAACTTATTTGCTATATGGTAATTATATTAAGGAATATCAAGCAGATGATTAAGAGTTCTTGATAAAGTTCAAATTAGAGGATTAAAGTCAGTAGAACTATGAGTATAATTTGTAAGATATTGATTATTATATTGTGAATGCACTTTTATTTATTGATTTACAATTTATCATAAGCATCTTCTCTATATTTTGAACAATTATGGAAGCAATTTATTGTTAAAATAAGCAATTGCAAAATTTATACAAAGAAATTATCAATTCTATTTTTATTTAAGCAAAAAATGGAACTTAAAAGCAAAATCGAAAAGTTATTAATGTGAAATATATAGGTTAAATAGTGCATAATATTTAAATTCCTACTCTAAGAATATGAAAAGTTTATTTAATTTCCTTTGTTTTTTTCCTGAAGTAATTTGTTTGTGAGTTTCCCTAAATTCTTGCTACCTTTATCTTATTTGAAAAATTTAATTGATTGTAAGAAACAAAGGGACAGATCATTGAAATTGATTTCCGTATTCGTTCTTTTAAGCAATTTAGTGTCATATGTGGAGAAACCAATTTCTTATTTGAAATCTCCAATCAAGGCTTGTTTTCTTTCATCACTTACACTTATAGGCAAGACCTCATAACCTGCTCTAATGTCTTCAGGCATTATTGTTAAATCATTTTATTAATTATCTTAGGGTTGTTGAGGTGGTATGAGTTTTACACTTCTCATCGGAACAAAGGATGCATTATTTTCATTTCCTTTTTTTGTTGTTTTCTCATTTACTTTTGATTTTTTGGTTATCACCTAAAGTATTTTATAGTCTGTAATCTTTTAAGAACTCATATTTATTTATTTAGGTTTAATAATAATTGAAGTTTATAAATTAAACATCATACATGATTGATAAAAATTAACTAATTAAAATGGAGACATAAATATAGTGATGTGCTCATGCATTATTCAAAATTAAAGAGCTAAATCCCATCGACTTCTTTTTTCATGAAGCACCAATAATTTATAAATATTCTTCTTGAAAATGATCTCGAGAGGAATTAACTTCAAAAGGGACTTCGATAAGTGATATCTTTGAATTTAGTAATAAATGAATAGCAATTATAACACTATTATTGCAAATATTGTTAAGAGGCCAATAATAATGATATTCTACTAGGAATTTAGGGTTAAATTGGATATTGCATCCGAAGACACATTCACAAAATATTAGCAAAATTAGGCTATCTAATATTAGATTGCATCAAGTCCCCATAGTATGTAAATCATATAATTATGTTCTTCAAAGAAATTTTGAATTTTCTGAAATCTCTCTAAATTGGTCTCAGGATATTATAAACTAATATCAATTTCATAATATATCTAAGACAGTATGTAGTGTAAGTCAACTATTCCTTAATAGAAGTATGGATTCAAAACTTCATTAAACATTCTCTGTTTAAATAACTCTGAATACATATCACATCCAGTTAAAATACAAGTGTCATGTGATAAAATTTCAGTTTATTCATTTTCATTTATGGCATTAAAGGTTTTCGAATTAAATAGAAAATTTGTAAAATTCAAGTGTTAAAATTAGTTGATTTCCTAATTTAGAAGAGTGCTATTAAATTCTAATTGACTTAGTATCTAATAATCAGATTATTGATTTGGAGTTATCGTAAATGAAGAATCATTTAGTGCTAAATTATAATATGACTCAAAGACAGTCTTGACTAGGTATTAATCATATTTGTTAATTGTTGTAATTGAAATTAATCGTAGCTATTAAGAATCTATGGCTTCTTCGTTAAAAGGGTGTACATTCTGTGAAATGAAATTGTAATAAATTTGAAACCCCATAGCATAACATAGTCCTATGAGACAAATGAAACTCAATGTGAGTATTTAATTCAACTTTGAAAGATGATTCCGTATTACTATGTGTTTATCCTATGAATTGAAAGTCTTTACTATGGCTTACTATTAATTTTGATTCGAAAATTTTATTTGTTCATATTCCACGAAAGGTTTTTCTTAAAGTTTCTAAAAGCTCTATTTACTTAATACAAAAGATTATCTGGTTAAAATATGTCTTAACTAATCATTTTTTCTAATAAACAGATTCCCATCTAGAGAATCGCATTTAACAAATATATCAAAATTGAACTTGATCTATTTATTTACTCTATGATTGTAAATCATCTACGAGAGGGCAATCAAAATAGCCATAATGTAGAAGCCAAAAAACAAATAATTAGAAAGGGAATCCAAATATTAGTTTATATAATCATTGTAGCTTTTGCAATCATCAATTTTCATTTGGAAAATTTTAACAACTTCAAAATAATTATAATGAACCAAAGACCTACTGATTTAGATTTAGTAGGGGTCTAACGAATCTGATAAATAATTGGATATATTTTGACTTTAAGTTTGTTGGGATAAATAGAATATTTAAAACATTATTTAAAAATAAGTGGTTAGTTCAGAGACTGATTAAGCTATTTTGTCCTGCAGATTTGCATTTATAATGTAGATATTTAATGAATCTTCAGAGTTTTATTAAAAGACTTTGCTATTGTGTTCATAAATGTTTATTAATCTATTCAACCCGAGATTTAAGTGATTCCAAGATGTATATAGTTTATTATATTTGCTAAAATTTAAGACTTTATCATCAATAGATAAAGCAGTGTCATTTATCAACGAATAAAAATCTTTATAATATATTACATGTCTGGATCCACTCATTATTTAAGAGTATGCATCAAGAAAATCTAAATCTAAAGTGATAATCTAAATGCAATTTGATTACATTGAAGATTTTCTTTCAAACAGCATGAATAGTGCAATTATTATACCTACTACTAATAGGACTTGAAATGAAAAAAAGCATTCTAAATTTGACATTTGAAATGGCAATTTAGAATTAGTCATTACTGATCGAAGAAAAGTAATTTAGAAATTAAGATTATTACTACTTCTCTTTTCTGATGTCGTAGAAGAACCTCTAATTTATTTATGGTTAAGAAACTCCCTATTCTCAGTTTCAAATGATTAAATTGCTATTTAAGATTAATTTTATGTTTAATTATGGATCTTCTAATGCGAATTATGCTTTTACAGATTATCATCTGAATCAGACGGAAGTCTCTAAAAAGTGCATTTACTTGGTTTTTAATCAAACTCAAATTGAAGATCGACTATAAAGTATAAGAAATCTTTTTATATACTATTAATTTAAGGATACAATATTTTGGAAATCAATGTAAGTTCTACTTGAAATGAATAAGATGTGTTCTAAGATAAAGCAAACTGTTTCTCAAATTTTATCAGATCATTTAATAAATGTCTATTTTTAATATCGAAATCCATTGCACCTTTGACTTTTTGATTTGATGCTTGCATTAAGATATCCTAATTAGGGAGAATAAAATTCATAGTATGTTTATGAATTATTACTTCTTCATCTTATAATCTAATGTTTCTTATTTACTTGTCAGTGAAATGCTCCTGTAATTTTCCTATGAGTTCTGGAAGAATGTGAAATATTGACAAATTATCATATATTTAGCAAAATTTGATTTCACTATTTGTCAATTAGTTTATTTTGTTTTAAATACTTTGGCTCATACCAAAAATATTGAAATTCTTATCAATTAACATATATCCCTCCTCATTCATTGTTTAGCTATTTTTTTGAAACCCTGATTTCTTTAATAAATGTGCAAATACATAAAAATAGTAATCACTACCTTAAATTGGAAATAAGACTGTCAAACTCATTGACACTTTCTCAATAAATTAATTTTTGTTTACTATGAAAGTATCTTGGCTAGAATACATTTTAGTACTACGACCAAGAAACAAAAAATTATCAATTAATCCTTTATGGATTGATCTAATGTTGTAAGGAATCAAATCATTTAATTTAGGTGATTCATCTGGATGTTCGTATCCAAAAAACTTTTTATAACTATCTTTAATGGAAATATTTTTGATATCAAAGTCCTCAAATGAAACTAATTATTGTATAGTTATAGCTTAGCCACTTACATAATTTAAAATATGAAATTGATGGGATGATTAAGCTAGTTATTTTTATTCCATAATCTATAGTTTCTTAGCAAGGACCAGTTATTTATTTAGATCATCTAAACAAACAATTGAAATTAATAGTTACAATCTTATAATTAAAATGTTTTCGTATTTTCGATCCTCTCTTTAGGAAATAAAATAATTAATATCTTATTACACTAAAGAAAGCTGAAATTATATCTTTTTTAATTAAACCATAAAGTCATCGTAATTTTTTATGTTTCCATTAATGTAACAAATCCACAATTCTTTTTATAAATTAAGAGCCATCATAATGTTTTGCATATACTGAATTTCATAAAAAAAAAATAAATTTAAATCAATTAAGGACTTAAATTCATTTTTACTAAGTAAATGTTGATTTCGATTTTATTATTCTATGTCTAATTTACTATCTAATTAGATTTATCTTGTCAAATGAATGAAAAATTATAAGGAACTAGAGGAATTCTTCTATTACTTTTTATAACTAATGACAACATCCTAGATGTTTTTAAAAGACAAGTATTAATTACTACGATATTTCTTTAAGAATGTGACAAACTTAATTGTTAATTGCTCAAAAATTGCAACAGGCAATTCCTTATTCATGGAAATTGCTATTAATTTCTAAAATTGATATTGCACCCAAACATAAAGAGGCTCACAATCTAAAGTTTAATTTGATGATATAAAGGTTTTCAATTACTTTTTACAAGGACAATGGATGTCATTACAAGTCTAGCAATGAACATTTAAATATCTAATGAATTGAAAATAACTTTGCTTTGTCATAGTAATAGGATGAGATATTAACACAAAATACTCCAACGTAAACTCACTCATAGTTTGTCCAGCATTTGAACAAAATCTCAAACTCTCCTCATCAAATTGATGTTAAAAATAAGCCTAACTCAAAGTAAATATTAACTAAAATTAGAATTTTTAAATACCGGAATCATTATGCAGCTAGTTAAGAAAATAATGCCATCGTCTGAATCTGAAAACATCCAATATGATATCAATATTCCAAAAAAGATTGAAGTTATTAAAATCTATGAATAAAATATTGTTTCAGTAGTGAATCCAAAGGGCAATTATGTAAAAACATCAAACAACAAACAAAACATTATTAAGAAGTAACATGAATAGATTATTAAATATTCATTTTGATACATTTACTTCCAAAACGATAAAATAATTAAGAGTTAGTGTAAGAATATAGTTATAAAATTGATATGAGAAAACTTTCTTAATAATCCTGCTTACAAAAAATCATAGTTTCTAAAATAAAAAACAGACACTATTCCTGATATAGATACCAAAATAACACCAAGGAAGCTAATTACTACATAATTCGGAGATATTTAAAATAAACATTCTGATGGTTCTATTTCTGAATGCTATATTAAATATGATTATTTTCCGCAGGTAATAATACCTATCATGCATTCATTAAAAGGAGTCAAGAAAAACCATTAAAAATTCTAAAAATAAAATTTAACAAATCTATTAATAGGTGATGATGACGGCAGAGACTATAAATATATTATAAAGATTTTACTTTTAAAATGATTTGAAATAATGCAATTAAAAATGTGCCCAGCATCACAATAAATACGCAGAAGTAGACAAAAATTGTCAAGGGATCATAATGAATGATTATAAGCATAAATGGAATCGACGATTATTAACTTACTTAAGCTAAAAAGTCATTTTCATAATATTATATTGCCTTGCGTTCAAACTGGCTATAAATATATCCAATTAGTTAAATGAAATAATATAAAATCTTCGCCATGTTACCATAGTCAATATTTTTCGTTCTTCTCTCAGTATTCGTCCCTATTGCAACAAAGTAAGATGTCAACTTTGAAATAAATTACATATATTTATAAATAAACTAATTTTGAACAGCTAATTTAATATACAAAAATTTAAAATCATTATCACATCCAACTTATCCTATTTTTGTATTTTATTGTGTTTTTTAATTTATCATCTGGATAAAAATAAAAGCACTGATATTTTTCACTTTGGCAATTATTTAATATTTATGTTAAAAATATAACTAGAGTTTCGAATATAATTTCAAACTATTTTTTTTTATGTAGCTATCAAAGAAGGATTCCATTACGAATATTTAAGGTATTTGATTAATTCATAAGGCAAATGACTCTAGATAAATTAAATAAATTAATTTAATCGAGTATCACTAAAATTTGCTTGCGTTTCTAAATGAAATTTTCCAAAAGATAGAAACTGTTAATTATTTAAATGCAATCACAATATGGGATGTCAGAATACAAAAAACTGTCTATATTATTGATAATCATTATGATATTTTGTCAAATATTGGAATTACTGTAGCAATAAATTATGATTAAATTTTGACTTAAAATTATCACATTTATTTAACCACTTTCAGAAAAACATGTTTAAATAAATTCGAATATTTTAGTTATTACTTCATTTTTTAATTCAAAAATTGTTATTGATCAACTAAAATTTCTTTTAAAAATTTTAAAGGAATTATATTTATATTATAATAAATTATCAATATTTTTTTAATTCTGGTATTCCTGTCCAATCAAATTATGTTCCTTTCTCCATAAATTCCTCTAATCTATTCGCTTTATGTGCTCTTTCCAAAAGATCCATTGCTTGGTTGTATTGATAAAAACCAAATTGATATTTTTCAGCCATTTCATAAAATATTTTTTCAGTATCCTAGCAAAAGTATTTACTAGTAAAATAAAAAGACATTAATGGTATTCCTATGTACTTAAAGGAAAAGACTGCTGGCCTAAATACAGGAATTCTTTAAAAATTTCTGAAGAGTGTTTTATTGGCAATAAAAACTACCAAAGGGCTTCCAAATAATGCTAAACTAGTTCTTGCTCTGTAATTGAGATAAGCAGCTGTGCATTATAAATAATCATCATTGTTGATGAATCCAAATTGTCTATTGTATTCAAAAAAGAAGTTAAATAGTTTTGATCTATCATCAGCAATCGAATCAAACTAATCTTGTCTAAATTCTTCGAAATTGGTTAGTTTTCTCTACCTATTCATTAAAATAATTAGAAAATATTATTATATTCAAAAATATTTGTGATAAACTAAGATAGTAAATAATTAGTATAACTATCAAGGTGCTTTATTGGTTTTATTATCTATTTCCAATGCTTTTGAATAGTCAGCTATGGCAAGATCCATCTCCCCAATACTAATAGAATTGAACAAATAAATACTTATCATAACAGCATCCTCTATTAAAGTAAGCATTAGCACCTTAATCATTCTGTAAATGGATTACTTAAGAGAAATCTTCAATAGCCTATAAAGTTTAGCATTAAATTACTTTGTGAAACTCTCCAATCCTTTCATTACAAATTCCTCTATTATAGATGGCATGAATGTTGATTGGATCTAAACTAATAGCTCTTGAATAATCGCTGATAGCTTCTTCAAATTGGCCTAATTTGGCTAGACAATATCCTCTATTATTAAGAGTCCTTGTGTTTTCCGATGAATAAATCAATTCTTGAGAGTAGCAATATGCAGCAGTCTCAAAATCCTCCATTTTTCTAAGCACTAAACCCATATTTGAATAGATGATGGGATTCTTTGAATCCAAAGATAGAGCTTTCTTAAAATCTTCTAAGGCCTATTCAAATTTATTCATGCTTCTCTTACAGCATCCTCGATTATGAATATAAACAGGATTTTGCGGTTCTATATCAATAGCTTTGTTAAAGTCTATGCAGGCTTTCTCATATTCACCAATTTTATCATAAACTAAGCCTCTCCCATTATAGGCTGGAGCATAGTTGGAATCAATCTTTAAAGAGCTAAGAGAAGATTAAATTATAAGATTACGAGTTAAAGTATTTTAAAGCATCCTCCAGTTTTTATTATCGATCCATCAAAATTCCAATATGAGTTAAAGTATTCGGATTGTTAGGCACAACATTATTAGCAATTAGATAATCTTGTTATGCTTTATCAAATTCTCCGAGCTTTTCATAACAATTAGCTCTATTGTAATAAGCCTTAAAATGGTTTTTGTCTAATCTTAAACATTCGTTAAATTCTAAGATAGCCTCTTTTATCTAATTTTTTTTCTTCATTGCAAAACCCTTATTATGATAAAAATCTGCCTTGGATGGATCAAGTTCAATGGCTTTTGCGAAATCCTTTATAGCCAAATTGTAATCCCCTTTTTTATCATAGGAAATCCCTCTATTATAATAAGCGTATGCATTTTTTGGATCCATTTCTACTGCCTTAGTGTAATCATTAATTGCATCATTATACATTCTTAGCTTATCGAATGCAAAACCTTGATAGATTTAATAATAAATTCATACCTCTATTAAATATGGATTTAAAATGGTTAGAATTAAACATTAGAGCCATAGTATAAAATTCAATAGCTTTAATGAAATCTTCTTTTTTTCTAGCTTCAAATCCTTGCTGATGGAACCAATCTGATATCTTCTTATTATCTTATTTGATATGATCTGGAATCATCGAGATTAATTGTTATTGAACGGGCTGAGAAATTTCTTTATCAATTATTTAGGAAGGACGCTAAATATGAAGTTCATTAGCATCAATGCTTGTGTAGAGAGGATTTTGACTCATAAAACTATTTTATTATGGTTAATTTTAAATCTAGGATTAATCATTTTGTAAGTATTCCTCATCATTTTGTGGGTTCATGAGATCATCCTCTTCAGGCTGTTAATATTTATTTGTTTTTGTTTTATACTAAAATGCTTCTGTTTTAGGATAGTTATCATCTTTTTTCATTGAACTATTTCTAAGTAACGATCGTTTATTTATAGAATTAGAAAGATTAAGAGATTTTGCATTATCTTTCTCCAAGGCTCGAGTATAGTCTTCGATGGCTCCTGCGAAATCTCCCTTTAAATTAAGACAAGAAGCACGAGCAAATGCTGCATTTACATGGTTCTCATCTAAAAGTAATACTTTGGAAAAGTCATCTATTGCAAGATCAGTTTATCCTAATTTTTCATTGGCACATCCTTAATTTGTTAGATTTGAATACCTCTCAAATAATATCCTCCGACATTATCACCGTCTGACTCTAAGAGTTTATTACAATCTTAAATTGCAATTTCATACTCCCCTTTTTTAATATAGGCGGATGCTCGAATGTAAAGGGCTTTCTTGTGATTTGGACAGTTCTTGAGTTTCCCTGTACATATTGCTATCAGATTGTCTATGTTGATTGACTAAATTATATTTTATAATCTACAGGCCGATATTTTGGAACTTTTTGCTAGCTCGGCAATTTCGTTAGATTTGGAGCGTGCATTAATTAAGAAAAAATTAATTAATATAAATTGTAAATTCAGGTAAAAAACATTCAATAGAAGAATCACAAAGGATATTTGTAGAAACTCACACAACAATCAAAGAGGAATAAAAAAAGAATAAAATTCGAAATTCTTCGATTATTTATAATTAGCATTAAAATTCTCTACTTATAAAATATATATGTTATGGATTAAAAAAACCAAAATAGTCACACCCACTTTCTTTAAAGATTGAAGTGAAAATTCTTTTTCTTTGGCAATATATAAGGACTCTTGGGATTTGGCCCTAATTTCTTCTCAAAATCACCATATGGTTATCTTAAACTCTCCGACATGAACACATTACCTGACACTAATAATTTGTCTTTTGCTATTTCATCAAATTTGCTTGGTAATTAATAAGATCCTTTTTAGTTGATTATAATTATAATTACCTGGCCCAATTTTTTCTGGATCTTATTCTCTTTCTTATTTTCCGAAGCGATCTTTTCCAGGTTGAATTGCAAAAGAAGACAATTCTTTCTTTACTATATAATCTGGATCAAAAACTGGGAACTTAACTTCATAATCACCAGGTCCTGGCAATAATCTATCATTCTATTTATCTTTATCATTCAGCATCATAGCTACAATTTGTTATTATGGTGTTATCTCTCGTAATTAAGCTCCATCAGGGTAAAAACCTAATTAAATGCAGATGGTACTTGATGTAGGTCCTTTGTGCTCAGGCTTTGATAATTAATTCTAGACTTCATATTAACCAGGAGGAGGATTATCTGGCTTATTCTAGAATTAGCCTCTTAATGTTTTAGATGAGAACACATATTTAACTACGTTCGACTTCTTTGGTTGTGGCATATCATATCTAATTTATTATTATAATTATACTCTCCTGGTCCAGGGTTGATCACTTCAACCTTTTCAACGCTCTTTTATTATTATTATCTCATAAAAAATGAAGGGTTGTTAGTTGATTATGAAGAATTAAAGCTATGATTTGAGTTATATTATCCAGGTCCAGGTCCTGAATTGACATATTTAGGGGCAAATACATTTCTCTCTTAAGAACAAGCTAATCCTCCAGTGCCTTTATTGGAAATGGATTCTGATTGTACTTTACCGAACTAATATAAACTAGAATCGTATTCTTAAGGCCCTGGATTATCAGGTAATTATTATTTAAATCTTGGTTCACTGGATCCAAATGCTTTCGTGCTTTGATCTCTATATATTATGAGTTCCAATTTTGCAGGTATTGATCCGACCGACAATTTGCTAGTGGCATCATGAACAAATCCTTTATAGAGTTTGCTATTAGCGGAAGGCAGCTTTCCTTTTTGTCTATATGAAACTGACGATGCAGATGTAGATAACATTAATTATAATCATTTTTTGATAACGTTTACAAGGTTTGGTAACAATTATTCAAATTAATTGCTGTTTATCCCAAGATGCGGGATTATTTTTGGTTAGGACTTTGTAAAAAGACCAGAATCCTAAAGCTTAGTTTTAGATCTACTGAGTAATAATCAAGAATACATGGAAGTTAAAATAGATTTCTCCTCTGTCTGATTTGTGAGTTATTAGATCAAATTTTAATATATTTCTTGTGACATTCCTTTCGGTGATTAAAGAGTTGGATTGCTCAAAATTCTACGATGACTTTTCTCACCTAATTTTTTATCTATTTTATTTCCAATCTCTACCAACTTTGTTGCAGAAACCTAAAGTGAAGTTGTTGATTTAGTATTCAATTCTTGAATAATTGCATGCAATTTTTGATTTTCCGACTTCAAATTATTCAATTCCTCCTCATAATGTTGTTTCACATTTTCAATTATTTTTTACTGTTAATCCTCAAAACTTTATACATTCTCCTAACTGTGCTTTAATTTGAAAGCCGACAGAGTTTCTTGCAAAGAGAAATTATCTTTTTTGAGGTTAGTTAGCTCTTAATTGAGCTTGTTAACAGTTTCTTGAAGTTTTTTTGATTTATCAACAAACTAGGTCAAATTTGAAATTTGCCTATTGAGACATTGTACAACCAATTCTAATTTCTAATTTTCTTCTATAAGCCTTTTGTTCTATTAATATTCTTTAGTTTATTAAATCATATAAATATTATATCAAATTAATATAACCTTGAAACTAAAAATTCTTAATCACACATCAATTGGTTCAAGATTTTGTTTGAGATTATTGATTTACTCTTGAAAGAATTGAATCTACTTGGCAAATATCGAATTTTCTATTAAAAGATGTTCAATCCTCCTATTTTTCTCATTCAAACATTCTAATTATTTTTATTTTTCATTGGGAGTGGAGTTTTTAGACTAAATTAACAATTCAATCATACTATCAATGTATTGTTAGAGTGGAATTAACTAATTTTATCAGTAGAATAGCCTCCAACTTTGTGTTTAGAAGGACAAAATCCAGTAAAATTAGATTGGCATCTCACTTAAAAAGTATCAAAAATTGCTGACTTATCTTCTGTCTCATCATCGAATTCTAAGCAACTTTAATTTAAATGTAATTTACATAGATTGTATTGTGATGATGAATTCATCATATCTTTTGGTTTTCTCATATTCTTGATAGGCTGACTCAAAATTCTTTAAGAACTTTAGTTAATTTAAATTTAAATTGCAATTTTGAAGTGCTTAATATTAATTTGAATTGTTTACAAAGAACTGAGTTTCTAATTATCTATAAGTCTCCTATAACAAATTGATTTTTATCCAATTTTTATTTGATGCAATAAAAATCATTTGGGTCATTTTCATTTTTCTCATGGGGTGATGCCTAAGTCAAAAGATTGTCTTTAGTTTATTTATAATATTCTTTGACCTTATATTAATCAAAGTAAAATAGCTTAGGGAATTCAAACCCCTGTGCAATTAATTGATTATGTCTTTATTTAATTAATTAGTACATTCTTTAAAATGATGATTATTGACCTTCTAAAATTGGGTGCCAAATATTCCAAACAAATATACATTCACATATCAGCCGAATGAACGTTTTACCAAGAACCATGAGCTGTTCGTCTATATATATTATTGCTATTCCTACCTGGTTTATTGGAAAAGTATTTTTTCGCATTAATTCCCTTTTCAAAATATTGTTATAATATTTATTGGAAGATGGGAATGATGTGAATAGAGACTTTAGTAATCACTAACTAAATGTGGTAATCCATCATTTCTTTTACTAACTGAATACTCTGGTTTTTTTTACTCTTATTGACAAGACTTTTTGCAAGGGTTATGAGATTGCGTTAGTTAAAATTTCACAGACAGCCTAGACTGTCAAATGGATTGTTTCTCTTATTTTATTACATTTTGAATACCTATCATTCTCTAAGATTTTATTTTTTAAAAGATTGGCCATTTTATAATTGTTTTCAGAAAGGAAGCAGTTTTATATTTCAACCATTTTCATTGTAATTTATTTTAAAAACAAATATTAAAAATAAATCAACAAGATGATTAAATTTATAATGTCAACAGATTAAATAAGATTTACTATTTTCTTATAAAAATTGTTGTTAGAAAATAATCAAAATCTAATCGATAGGATTTTTGAACTAACAAAGTGAAACTCTATATTAAGATACTGTATTTATAGTTAAGTTATATCTAATTTAACAAAAAATATCAATAATTATGACTCTCTATTAATGGCAATTATCATTCAAATTGTTCAATTAAAGGGATATAGAATGATTAAAAACAAGAAGGTTTGAGAGGAATTGAGTAAAATAAAATAATTAAATAAATGTCAGAATATGGAGCAGTACCATTTGCACTCATGATAGTCATCGTGATTTACATTGTCATTGGAGAATACTTCAAATCTATTCACGTATGCATACAGTCGTGATTGCTTAGTTCCATTTAATCCATGAAACAAGTTTTGGCATAATCATCGGGATGCTTGTAGGTTTACTATTAAAATGGATGGATGAAAACGCATATGCATAATTTGTATTAAAGTCTGATTATCTAGTTTTCGTTGAATGCTACAATCTTTTTCTATTTGCTTTTACCACTAATCATTTTTTCTGGAGGGTACAATCTCAAAAAGAAATAATTTCTTAAGAATTTCAAATACATTGTTTCTTTTGGGTTTCTGAGCACATTAATTAACTTTATAATCACATTGACTTTGACTATAGCATTTAATTCCTGGAGTAAGAATTTGCGAATTATTAATATAGAATTGGTCAGATTAGGCACAAATTTAGATTCCCATCTTCCTTTAAGTTATGATGAGATGATCAAATATAGTGCAACTATATGTGCAACAGATTCAGTGGCTGCTCTCAATTTAATTCCATCTCAATAATATCCGAAATTATTTAGTGTTGTTTTTGGAGAAGGAATGGTTAATGACGCAGTTTCTATCATTATCTTTTAAGCAGTAACCATATTGTAATAAAGTGGTAAATCATTTGAATGGTACACCCCTTTTGAATTCATTGGGCGATTCTTAGAAAACTGTATAATTTCATTATTGATTGGTCTTTTCGTCGGATTGTTTTCCACTTGGTGTTTTAAGAAATGCAGATTTTTGACAAACTCTACCACTACAGAAACAGTGTTTGCATTTTTAATGGCCTACATGGGTTATTCAATTTGTGAGATGCTCAATCTAAGTGGAGTGATTAGTCTGCTGATGATAGGAATCATGATGAGTCATTATTAAGGATATAATATTAGTTAGTTGGGTAGAGTTACTACAAGAGTTACTTTTGAATCCTTATCATTAGGAGCAGAAGCATTTCTTTATGTTTTTTTGGGATTCGCAATGTGGAATCAAACTACCTATTACAGTCCACTCACACAAGACCTTTATTACGTAGAAGTCTCATGGGTCTTCACTCTTCTATAACTAGGCATAGTAATTCTAGCTCGATATTTAAGCATTTATATTGTATACTGGATTTCTATAATGTAATATACTCTTTATATGTACTAGGATTCAGGGACCTAAAGTATGGAAACTAACTAAATATGAAATGAGCATTTGTTGTTTTGCTGGAATGGTCAGAGGAAGCGTTGCCTTTGCTTTGATTGAAACTCTTGTTGCCTCACCTACGGATGGTATATAAATTAACTAGATTAATATACTATAAAGTTGTGTACTCTATATCGTTGTCTTCACAACAGTGATTTTTGGCACAGCCATGCCTTTTTTCATTAATATTTAAATTAAGAAACAGTTAGATGAGGAAGAACGTAAATCAATTAGCGAAGTTCCCACTCCTGTTCTTTCTGACTCTCCAAAAAAGAAAGAGTTAAGTGAAGCCTAGAAAATAATCAAGTATATGGATGAGCACTATTTCAAACGGTGGTTCATATATGATTACGAAAATCGTAAAGAAAAGATCACTCAAGAAAAAAAATAAATTAAAACTGAAACCTTATAAGAAATTTATGAGAAATCTTTCAGTGAGGCAAGTGAGGATGAGTCAGTTAAGTAAAGAAATGAAGATTTCATATCTTTACCAACTATAGAAGAAAAACCTACATCTCCATTAATTGTTAAAATGCAAGAATTGTCATAACAAATTTGAATGTTTTTTTTATTTTGTAACCAAATTCCAAATAGATATATCTATTCTTTATATTGGTTTATTATATAAATTTGATTTTTCTCCATTTTTTTATTTAATTGTTATGTCATGAAATCTCTGGATCCAATAATCATCATTTAATTGTTGTATCAGATCCTATATTTAATTTCGGTCTATTTTTCATATATTAAACTTATTTCACGATCATCTAATTCTTAGCTCAAAAATAAAGCAATTTAATATCAATCAAGTGCTATCAAGCTATCTTAAAATATGATGATATAATATTAATATATTTTAACAAATTTAGTATAATTAGAGTTCACAAGAAAATTGGTACTAGCTTAAATCGATGTACCTCTGTATACCCTCGTAATTCCCTGAAAATAGTAAATATCTAAATTCTCTGTTCAAAATCTATTTTTTGGATTCTTTCTCTTTTGACAATCTAGCATTGAGTATAGGTTGGATTAATAAAAGATCAACTCAAAAGTTTAGTATTAGTGGAATTTTAGGATTGCACCCAAGTTGCGAGAAACATTATTAAAATTTTGAGTGCTAATATAATTCGTTTTTTTATTTATTTTATATAAATATGAGAATTGTGCTAGTGCTGTTGATTAGCTTAGTATTTTAACCGAATATGATTTAGGCTTTAAGCAAAATGGCTGCAGATCCAAAAGTTGTTCTTGCAGAAATAGATGGTAATCACATGGGAAAAACTTTCTTGAATGCCATTTAAATTAGTCTTGCCACAGGTTCACCAGTTCATGAAATCCAAAGTTATATCAATAATATTAGGTATGAAGAATTTTATACTTAGATTCATGTTAGAACAAGAGCAAAAAGACTCAGATCTTTACATCTAAAACACATAAGCTTCATGTAACAGATTGCTCCATGACTTTTCAACTAACTTAGCATATCATCAAAGTTAATTGAAAGCACATACTAAAATTGTTGATGAGAATACCAATAATTTGTAAAGATCCCTAAACAAAATTGCAGAAGTCTCTGTTGAGATTGAGGAGAATTCAAAGAAAACTAATGCAGGATCAAGCGAAAGAGACTTGCAATATGCTGAATTTTAGTCGAAAATTAAAGATCACACTGAAGCAATTGCTGCTATTGATGAAGCTTATGCATTGATTGAACATCTATCTGGAGGATCTTCATTTATTTAAGTTAAAGGAAGATTCAATAAGGTGTTGTCCAGATTATAGAGGTAAATATCGTCCTTTCCCTCTTTAGTTAATCAACTTCAAGTGGGTTGCTATTCTAACCAATCCTTACAATGATGACTTAATTATCAGCCAAATCTGATTCTGATACAGCCAAGAAAGTCTTGTAATTGTTGTCCAATCTGAGGGTTTAGATAGTTGAAAGCAAATCAAGTGATGAAGACATTGAAAAACAACAAAGTTTGAATTGGTAATAATTCTTGTCTGACTTAACTAACGAGAGAAACACCTTGTATTTTACTGTATTAATCAAATTTTAGGTCTGATTAAAGATAAAATCTTGAATAAGCCATCTTGAATTATTAGAGCATTATTGAGGAATCATAAGGCAAAGTGGAATATCATGCTGCCGAAGTTGAGAGAAATTAAGTATTTCAATTTCATATAATTAAAAAGTCTAACTTAGAAGGCCAAGATCAATGGTGCAGATAATAATAAGACATTTATTAGATGGAAACCTAAGCAAGAGTTCAATTACAAGATTTGATTTCCAGAATCTCAGACCACATCTAAGACAAGATTGTTACTCTTAAGGAATATCTTAGAGAAAGGCTCTAATTAAATTGAGATTAAGAAAAATTTAATATTATATTATCAAATGGATTCAATAACTGGCATCGAAGATCATCAACAATAGAGAAATAATATAATCTGCAATGTCTAGCTAGTCTAACAAGCGATTATGGATAGTTACCATGAGAAGGAATACAGATAATCAATTTCACTGACTTAAACTTAAACCTAAAAAGTTCCTGATGATAATACTAATCAACACGTTTCTTTGTTGTTATATCCTATTCAAACTTCTGATAAGCATGATGATGTGTTTAATGCAAATGTGACAACTAGTATTAGGAATAGAATTTCGCCATATTTTGGTGTTTTACTTAAAAAAAGTCCTCATTGGGTTCAAGGCTATAAGGAGAGATAATGTTCTATTGTTAATCGGATTTTTAGGTATTTCTCAATGGAACATAAAAAACTAGAGGGTGTTTTAAATTTTGATGTTTAAACATATTAACTTATTGAGATCAAAGATAAGCAAGGAAACATAATTGAGTTCATGTACTATTCTTCAGCTTAGTTTATCTAGAATCAAACCGGTTGGGAAAATAGATAAAATCTTCCAATTTAAAGGAACAAATCCTATGGAAACCACAAAATGGTTCAACACCATAAAAATACATTTGCAAGATTCAATTGGTTTTATGAATTAACTTACATCTCTATGTAAATATGAAAGATATTGGAGGGTATCTAATGTTAAATTATCAAAGCATGAAAGAATTTCAGCCTAATAGTTAGAGGAAGATGCAGAAGATGGTGACATCATCTTATTTAGAGGAAAAGATATTAATTGTTATGTACAAAGAGCATTTACATAAGACGATTTTGACCACGTCGGTTTGCTTCTGAAAATGGATAATAATGAATTATTTATATTTGAGGCCTTGCCATCAAGTGGTGTTGCATTGTGTAGATGGAGCACTTTCAATATTAGAAAATGGTATTCGATGTATGAAAAGTATAAAATTTTAATTAACTGCTTTATAGGGTCGTTTATAGAAAACTTAAAACTAATAGATCAATAGAATTTAAAGTCAAACTCTCTGATTTTGTAAATGAAAACTTAGGAAAAAAGTATTCATGCACTCCTTCAAAATTATTAATGTAAAAGTCCATTCTGTTTGTGGATGAATAACCAAAAACAGAAGAATAAAAAAATAGAACATATTTTTGTTCAGAATTAGTTGCAAAATGTTATAAAGACCTTGGATTCTTACCAAAAATAGTCTCTTCCACTCAATATTGGCCTGGTTCATTTTCTTAATAAAACAGTAAACTTAAACTACAATAAGCATCCCTTAGTGATGAATATTTAATTGATTTTTGCATGTGATTCCTAATATTTTATAAAATTGATGTAACTATTTATTTGTATCCCAAAACAAAGTGAGTTTTTAATATACTTTTTCTTATAATGAATCGATTTGCCAATACTTTGGCTGTTTTATACTCCTTTATTCTTAGTAATCGGACTCAAATTAGCATAAGCATAGCAGAAAACAAAATTAATCCTATTAGAACCAAACCAAATATTGTAATTTAGTTAATCACATCAATCTTATTTAATTTATTTTTGAAGATTGTGTTAACAATACAGATTTACAGCCATATATTAAGTTTTCATATTTCAATTTAAGTTTGAGTTGCTATTTTATTCCTTTTGAAAGCAGATAGTTAATTTATATTCTCCTTTATCATAATATTTGATATAGAGATGTGTAATTATGCTAACAGAATGTAAGAAGTGAGTTTCACAAAATATAAGGAGTAACATTAACTTAGGTTTTATATTTTTGATTTTTAAACTTGATTTTGATGATTCAATACATACTAAAGCCCGTTATGTCATGCTTACTTAATAAAAGGCAGATATCAATATTTGAAACTTTTCGACAGCATATCTTCTAATGCATTCAATTTCAAAATGACAATATGTAAATCCATCTCAAAATTATTATAGTATTGATTAAGATTAAGATGCTCAGAGTAGAAAAAGACTTATTATTAATTGTATTTTATCAAAATAAAATTTAATTATAATTATAAACTATTTCTGTGTTTAATGGTAAAACTTTTATCACTTTCCAACAAATGGCCAATTTTACTATAAAGTTAATTAGCACTATTAATAATTAAAGTAAGAAATTAATCAAGAATTTTTCGATTTACTTTCTCAATAAATCTTATTTTTTTTTCAATATAAATAATGTAATTCAGTGATAATTATTAAGGATATTTAAAATTCTTTTTTGTTGTTATTCCAAAATTTCAATTCTAAACACGTCATTCAACACATCCTTATAACATTTTAAGATTATTAGTAAGTCTTAGTCAATTTATTGTATACTCGTTGATAAGGTATCTATCTTTTCATTACAGGCTGAATATGCTTAAGTAGTTTATTCTTAAGTGTTTTTAATAAAATTCATCTACTCTTAATATTCTTTTGATGTTGAAAGTAATTTTTTATTAATTTCGCTATTAAAGTAAAAATTTTTACATCATTTCATTTTAGGACGTTGAAATAAAGGAAACTATTTATTTTTAGTTTTCTGAAAACTCCTAAATACCTCGATATAAATCTGAAAACTACAGAGACTATTGCTTTTCTTATATTGATCTAATTAGTTTTTCAATTCTATTTTAAAAACCTTAAAACTTATCCTATTGATCTTGCTCAAATTTAATTTATTTATCTTCTGTTTATCTAATTTTCTTTTCAAATTAGTTTAAGCGATTGATATCCATTACATTTGATTGCGATAAGCTATTTTTTTGAAGAGCCTTCCTACTTGGAGAGTTTTTCCCTTTTTCACTTAAGCTAGTATTATCTTATTGTAATAATGATCCAGAACTTTTATTCCTAACTATATCATTCGGACTGTCATCATTTCTTTATTTCATTATTGGGCTTACCTAAGAAGACTATATCCTTAATAAATGAGTATTGATGTCAGATAAATTATCAAAGTTATCTATTTTTTCAGTCAATTCACTAAATTTTGTATCAACAAATAATATCAATTGCTTCAATATTCTTCCAGTAACATATTCTGTATCACAAACACTATTATAAATTTGATTCAAAGTGCTATCAAAACACCCTTCAGTTTTTAGGGTAAGAATTGGATTAAGTTTCTAAATTAGAATCGTTTACTCTTACAATTAAATGAGATTCTTAAGGCAGATTATGAACAGATTGAGTCTTTCCTATTTTTTAAGGAGGACCTCCTTTAACAATAAGCATTAAATAATTAAAATATCAATAAAAGTAATTATTTACACATTGATAGCGTTCTTTATTCAAATTCTTGTAATTTTTAATTTCTGTTGCATTCAGTTGAATGCAATTGAAATTTAGTTCTAAATGATTCAACAATTCTAAAAAGTTCTAGGTCTAATTAAATAAAATAGAAAAATACTATTATTTTATCAGACATTTTGATAAATTCATAGATACAGGCGATTGCTTTATTATAATGAGTAATATTTCGAAACTCATAAGCAATAATGGAGTATTAGAGAAGCTCTAAAGCATTTTGTTTCATGTAGATTACTTCGCACTCTTAATAAAATTAAGACAAAAAAGGTTTAAGATGGAAAAATATTTTTTCAAAATATTCAAAAGGTGTTTGAAAATATATATTATATTCCAGTTTTCTACATATAGTTTATTCCATTGATAAAAATTCATGAATAGTATAGTTTTCTTAACAAATCTAATTTATTGAATTTTAAGTACATCAATTATAATATCTTCAACAAAAATAGGGGATATATCATGAAATTTTGAAGATAGATAGATACAACAACTACCAATAAGGAATAGATCGTCAGCTATGAATCCTTTAGTATTGCACAAAAAAGTATCGAGTAATTCGACACAATGAAACAGGGTTTGATAGCTCATTTTTTAATAACGTTTGACAGTTGTCATCATCCAATCTATTAACTATTGAAGTTAATCTTAATTAAACTTATGAAAGTCTAGATGATTTATTCTTTTGTACTTGTTATAGAAAAGAATTTACATTTATATCTTCTTTATATTCTTTTTCTTATATTTCTTCATCATATAGATATTTCTTCTCATGTAGGCATTCTTTAATTGGTTTTGAGAATAATATTCTATCAATTTTTTCATCATCTTTATTAAAGACAGGCACAATGGCATTCCTTCTTTTATTTTTTATGTTTTAATCATTTTGTGACTAATAATTGGTAATATCACTTAATATAGATTAAGGTCTTAAACATTTTGGCTATGATAACACTCCTTTTTTAAGTAAAAATTTGGTTTGATAATTCATTAAAGAAAATTTTAATTTAATTTTAATAATTAAGTTAAATTTAATTATAAATAATATTTATATACACTTGCTCGAGAATAATTGATCAAGTTAATTTTATGATCTAAAACTAAATATTTCCTTATGTGATTGAAATTATTAGGAGATTAAATAAAGTCAAACTAACCATCGCTATTTATAGAATAAATTTATTTATAAAAGATTATAATATAATTTTTTTTATACTATTTTAATGCAATATTTCAATTCGTTTTGTTCCCCTTGACCAACAAAGGATTATAGATTTCTGGAGCAACAATTAATCCCAATGCAAAATAAGTCACTACAGAGTTTCTTAAGATTGGAAATAATCCAGAAGAAACTAAATATATTTTATACATTTTTTATACATCTTTTTGAAATGGATACTATGGCTAATGTGCTTAATCCAAGAAAAATTAGCCTTTAGTTTTCATTTCCTCGACCCAATATATTATTGTATTTAAATTAAGTAAATCTTTCTGGCCATTTCTCATATTGATTGGTTAATGGAAGATAATAGGTATTTTTCCATTCATTAAAAGGAATTTGATTTACTAAATCACAAATTGGTTATTTCACATTTGTCCTAATTGAATCGGATAACTAAGATATGTTAAGTTCAACATCGTCAACCCAAGTTCTAGTTTAATTGGACATTGATAAAAAAATTTAAGAATTTATTGTATTATTATTTTAATGAATAGGCACTCTTAAAAATGTTCACCTAAATGTTGATAGCTATATTGCTCTCTGAAATTAGAAAGATCAATTTAATCATCAGGTAGACTTGTTTTGTTAATTTTTAATTGTTAATGAGGTACAAATTTAGCTTATTTTTATAAAATTAATGACTGATTATAATATTTCATCAGATAATGTAAGGCACCATAGCTTTTCTATTTCTTGGATATCTATCTCCAAACTCCTTGATGTATCGTCTATGTTTTTATTTTGCCCAAATAAGCATCTAACCAAAAGAAAATATTGTAAATGCAATAGCTATTGAAAAAAAAACTATAAATACCTGCGTATGAACAAGTAAATAATGAAAAACTAACCCAGGCCATTGTTTCCCAGAAATAGTTTGCAGATGAAACTGCTCCAAAACCCCAACCGTATGGAATTTATCTTTATTTGTTTTAAGCAACGTAATCGGCATCACTTTACTTTAATTCAAGTTTTTTTCTAAAGCTTGAGAGTCTGATGTGGCACATTAAATTCAAAAATTCAAACAATCCAAAAAATGCAACAAAAATAAATTTCCAAGATTATCGTTTTTCAAAACTTCTTAAATAGAACAATTCAATCCCAATACAAAATCCACAAAATATCCAATAATGCAAACAATTAATTAAGGCTCTTTTTAGGGGCATAGAATCTCTACTGAAGACATGAACAAATTTAGTTTCTAAAATTCTTTTGAGGAAGTGTAAAATCACCATCCAATAAGCTATTCTAGAATATATTATTTTAGGAATGTATACTTTTGCATAAGTGTGTAATTCTCTTAATTACCTAACTTATAAAGTAGAAAGAACATTAAAATTGGCCCTAGGTATTCGATGTAGAATACTGCACCCCAGAGCATTTAAGGTCCCAAATCTTTCACTACTAATGTCTGACCATTTTTAATTCCTGAAAGATTCAATGGTAGCTCATTATCCTCAAATACTTTTTATTTATCCTCTGTTGTCAACCATTATCTTATTGGTTTGATTTTGGCTTGATAAAATTATTTATACTTATTTTAGCAATCTCCTTCTTAAGACTCAAAATGGTTTGGCTTGTTGAATTTAATTAAATATTGATGGCTTTTCCTTCCTATTCTATATATTCTCCTTTTCTTCTCTTAATTAAGATTTAATCAATCATTAATTTTATTATTCAATAAAATTGCATCTCATAAATAAATAACATTAATAAAACATAGAAGGGATTGTTAACCGTAAGAAAATAAATCAATTCTTATTCAAATATGAGTGAATTTGTTGTAAAAAAAATCATATTTTTGAATAGCTTTCTTCTCTAATTAATCACATTTATACTTTAATTCAAAATAATAAATTTTATGCTTAATAGTTTAATTGAATAACAATATTTATCATAATAAATGATTTTGATATTCAAAAATTCGGAGGTAAGGTTTTGAGTATTCTAAGATGAGAGAATACTTCCTTAATCGGCGGAAATTTGGTATGTTGCATTTTAAATGGATCAAATTTGATAATGTTGATATTAATGGTTAGAACTTAAATGAAGCTTAATTGTTAAATTGTAAATGGAAAAATATCAAAATACATGATTTAAAAAATTAGATGGTCATTCAAGTGAAGTTACTTCATTCAATTTATCTCATTAGCATTTGGGATGTTGAAATAAGGTGGATGGATTGAACAATAAAATTTTACTTTACATATCACGAGTAGCAAAAAATAAATAGCCAGCGTCAAAAATTTTTTTGCTCGTTTGGGGCAAAGCCCCAAATGATCAAATTAGGCCGAAGCCAAGGGGCCTACTGCCCCTGCTGAGGTGGATGGGTGAAACAAGTTAGAAAAATGATTTTCTAAAAAGCAAGGGTACATAAGTAAA